TCCTCAACCTTAGAAATGGTCCCTTTTAACTTTGCTGATTTCTGCAGTCAGTCCAGTATATGTACCCACACCCGAACAACTGGAATTAAGAACTACAGAGAGAACATTCTTAGAGTTCCACATTGTAGTCTAGCACTCAGAGAAGCCAAGAATTCAAACAGGGCAAGGAATCTGGAGTCAGAAGCTGATGCAGAGGAGCTGGAGAAGGGTGGTGCCTAACCATAATTGGCCTAACCATAATTGCTTGCATACCCTGCTTTCTTATAGAACCTAGGACCACTATCCCAGGGACAGACCCAGGCTGTGTCAGGTTGCCATAAGACTAGTCAGGACAACTGTCCTGTTTCGTTTCCTTTTTCATTCCTTCCCAAGACCACACATTAACATCAACATTACAATATAAAACATTTTATAAACTTAAAAGTCCCAAAGTCGGGAATTAGGGAGATAGCTCAGTGGTTAAGAGCAGTGGCTGCTCTCCCAGAGGACCTGGGTTCAATTCACAGTGCCCACATGACACCTCACAACTCTAATTCCAGTTCAAGAGGATGAAACATGCTCACACATACAAAACACTCATGCATAAAATAAAAGTAATTATTAAAGTCTGAGAATCTTTACAAACTCGGATACTTTAAAATTCAGACTCTTAAAAATCTAAAGTCTCTCTTATACCCGAAAATCTTTAAATATTTATTTTCTCAACTATGGGCTCCTATAAAATAAAAAGTAAGTTAAACATGTTTCTTCCCTTCAAGAGGGAAGAACTAGGGCACAGTCACAGTCCTAACAAAGTAAAACCAAACTCCAAAAGTGTAAGTAACGCAATGTCTGATTGCCGGGTATTCATTTACAATCTTTGGGGTCCCTCCCAAAGGCTTATGACACTTCTCAGGCTCATCCTTTTGCAGCACGCAGTTTGTCTCCTAGGCTCAGGCAGCTCGACTCCACACCTGCTGCCCTCCTTTGTGTCAAGATTTTCCCTGTCCAATTGCATCAAAATATTAATGGAGCAGGAGGCCAGTGATTGGACAGGGGAAAGGGGGCGGAGCTAAGAGTTGCATTGTGTGTGTGTGTGTGTGTGTGTGTGAGAGAGAGAGAGAGAGAGAGAGAGAGAGAGAGAGAGAGAGAGAGACAGAGAGACAGAGAGACAGAGAGAGAGAGACAGAGAGAGAGGGAGAGAGGGAGAGAGAGAGAGAGAGAGAGAGAGAGAGAGGGAGAGAGAGAGAGAGAGAAGAAAATCAAAATGGAGGACAGACAGAAATCCTTATCCCACGTGGTCTTAAATAGCCACAGGTAGTTATGAATATCAATAGGCATAGAATAATTAGGATAACTTGTCTAATCTAGGTGGGCAGCTTGTATCCTTATCAGTTGGCCCTGAATTAATTGTGTGGGCATCTTGTGAATTGAGAATTTATTGATACATAAATCTCACTGGTTAATTTTAAAGACTTTTGATTTTACCCAGTTAATGGGTATTGTGATATCTAACCTCGAGGTGGGCTGTCACTGCGTGGGGCTAACCATGGAGGCTGCGGAGTTGGTGGGTGGGAGGAGAGATTTTGGAGCTCTGAGTCAGAGTCTCCACTAGATAAGAACAGGCCTGCCATTGCCACCAGTGCATAGCCAGCCAGTCCACCAGGGCAGAGAGTAGCAAGACAGTAGCACAGGAACTTGTTGGTCATTTTAAAAATGTTTCCCTCTATAGTCCTTGATGGTTATCCCATGGTATAGGCACTTCAAAACTTCTGGTGCTGTCTGCTGCAACTGGGCTGCATTTTCACCAATTGTACCTCCTAGACTGTCTTCATGATGTCAAGCCTCAACTTCTCTCCATGACCTCTTCAACCTGAAGTTTCAACAGCCACTGAGGCTGCACCTTCTCCAGTGCCTCTCCTGGCCTCTCACAGTGCCAAGCCTTAGCTGTTCTGCATGGCCCCTTCACAGCTGCAAAACCAGTACCACCTGGGTGACTCTTAAACTACCAAGTTCAGCTGCCGGCATGAGGTATAAGCTGTGGCCACAATTCCACTGTGCTGACTCTCAGGAAACACGAGATTTCACCTCCATAATGCTCGTCTCTTCTTAATCACTGCTCCAGCTGACCAACATTAATTGTTCCAGTAAAACAAAGGTTTAACTTTAGCGGTTTTGGTCTCTTGTTAATCACAGCTGATTCTTCAGCCCAAGCTGACCTGACACCACAGGTTCTTGGTGGCTTAGTAGAGTCTTTGTTTTCCTTTCAGCATTCTCATCTTCATATCTCAGAACAGCTCGCTGAGCTCTGAATACTCAAAGGCACTACTAGGACAAAGTTCCATAGTCCTTTCACACTCCTTCCAGCAAGCAATATGGCCATCTCTGTCACAGCAGTACCCTACAATCCTAGTAGCAACTTCCGTCTTAGGATTACAGTTGCTGTGGTGAAGCACTATGTCCAAAAGCCAGTTGGGGAAGAAAGGCTTTGTTTGGCTTACGCTTCCATATCACTATTCATCATCGAAGGAAGTCAGAATAGGAACTTGAACAGGGCAGGAACCTGGAGGCAGGAGTTGATGCAGAAGCCATGAAAGTGTGCTGCTTACTGACTTGTTCATCATGGCTTTCTCAGCCTGTTTTCATATAGAACATGGGACCACTAGCCCAGGGATGACACCATCTACCTCTGAGTTAATCATTAAAACATGCTCTACAGCTGGATCTTAGGGAGCCATTTTCTCAAGGTTCTTTCCACTCAGGTTGACATAGACTAGCCAGCACAGGAGATACCAGACTGGACTGCTGTGTCTCTCTCCTCCTTGGCTGAAATGTTGTTCTTTTAAACAAGGCTCCTCTGTTTAGTTATCAAGTCAATGAGTCAGAGGCTGAATTAAATCCTAAGTAAGATTCCTAGACTGTTTTGGGCTCTATGGAGGAGAAGTATATTCCTCTGTTTTATAGTCCCCACATCGAACCAGTCCAGGACCTGACTGTGTCAAGCATCAACAGTCCCAAGAATCACCTGGACCTACCTCATCTTCATGCAGGAGTAGGCTGGATTATGTTCTGTCTCAACTGAGCCTCACCCCAGATGTCTTCTCTCTTGGGAAAGAGTTGTTCAATCCTTAAGGAGGCCATAACCCACAGGTTCAAACTCATTGTTACACAGGATCTGAGAAGGAGCTGTGCTCCAGATGAAAGATATATCTTCCCAGCTCAAGATCAAAGTCACATGTGTCTTCCTACCTCAAAAAACTGGACTAGAAGTGGATCCACCCACTTCAAACCAAGCAGAAAAATCCCTCACAGGTGTGCCCTCCATTTCTGGAATCCAATTAATTCCAGATGTAGTCATGTACCAAGAATAGCAATCACAGGGACAAGAGGGTTTATTTGGTTTACATATCCTGGATTACCGACCACTGGAGAAAGCTGAGGTAAGACCTCAAACAGGGCAGGAATCTGGAAGCAAGAGCTGATGCAAAGGCCAGGGAGGGTGCTGCTTACTCAACCAAATTTCTTAGAGAATCCAAGACCCCCAGCCCATGGTTGGCACTGCCCACAACATCCTAGGCCCTCCCATATCAATTATTTATCGAGAAAACGAAATGTCCCACAGGCTTGTGTACAGCTCAGTCTCACTGAGGCTCACTCCTCTGAGGAGGTTAGCTTGTGTCAAGTTGAGATAAAACAGAGCACAGTGAGTTTCTTCTGGTGACAAAACAGAATAATCTCATCTTCCCACTGTCTCATCTGAGACATAATCTCCTTGTGAATGAATGACCATGACACCAAAATGAACACTTTCCTCTCATGGGGTTTACAGTTGGGTCTCAGATGTTACCAGTACTGGAATAAACACACGTGAGTTGGGAGTCCCATCACTCCGTGGTGTCAGTCTGGCTCCTTTCTTGCAATGAGTTCATTTTGTATGTTCAGGAACATATTTCTGATACCTTTGTGTTAAAGGAAGAATCATTCTTGAGTTATGAAATGGGGGAGTAACATGAACTTCTACTAAACAAACAAGCAAACAAACAAATAACCTTTAAGTACTTCCACACAGAAGCAGTGTGAGGAGTCTAAAAAGAGACTGTAAATTGAATAGGACCAACCTAATGCAGAGAGAAATCCTATAATGGATGATGGGTCCGGAGTCAGTTCGCATGCCCACTGATCCCTGAGACCAGTTTTCTTTCCACTGCGAGAGGAGCCAGGAGCCGGGAGAACACCTGGTGGTGAATAGTTGTCTGAGTTTGTGAAAGAGAATCCAGTCAAGCTCTGGTACAGCTGTCTCAAATGTTAAATTGTTTGCACGGATTAATGGAGGAACATGTGGACAAAGGACTAAGGACAGATGAAAATCTCAAAGGGTTTCCGGGGCTTAACGGTAAGAGACATTTGTTTTCCCTGGCCTATGCCCCAAACTGTGGATTTCAGTGTACACATCAAAACTGTTTTTTGTTTTTGTTTTTTCCTCATTGATGTAGTGTCGTAATGGGTGTCAAACCATTCACTCCAGGCAAATGCTTTACCAGTAAGCAGCCCCCTATCTCTTTTGGTACTTTTTAATTTGTGACATAAACTCATGATTCTTCTGTCTCAAACCACAGAGTAGCTGAGATTTCAGAACATTTCCAGAAAACTTGGTTTCAAAAACTGTCTAAAGAGTTTGTGGTGGGTCCTAATGTAGCTTCTTGCTCCATTATTTTAAAATAAAATTGAGTCAATGTGATTTTTTTTTCTGCCTGCCATAAGATTCTAGGTATCCCTGAGCTTTTAAACTCACAACATTGATCAGAGTAAGAAGTAATTTAACACGCGTTGCCATAAAAGGCTGGACTCATATTCCCAAAATGCCCTTTGTAAATTTGAGATTTTAAAAGCCGCCTAATTGCCAGTCAATGGGCTATAAAACTCTTTGCCTTCTTTGGTTCAGAGTAGTCCTTCGCATAGATTTCTGGGAAATGTAGTCTCTCACAGCATGACCCCGTTAGACAGGACTCTGCTCTCTGTGCTTCCGGGTTCATTTTGCATTTGTGTTTCTCCAAACTCTGCGGCGTTCTCAAAGTTGGGACAGTGTGGCTTGTGCTCCGCGCTAGACATGGAGGTTGGTCCGGGTGCAGCCTAGCCTTTCAGGCCTTTGGAACTCTGCGGGTGGGCGGGTCCTGCGTGCAGGGAGCCGGGGAGAGCTGGGCGGGAGGAGGAGAGAAGCCCACGTGGATGTGCTGTGCGGACCCAGGCTTGCCCACAGTGCCGGGGAGGGCGCACACATGGTGCAAGGAGAGAATGCTCTGTTAGGACAGAGCGGCTGCCAGAGTCGATCTTGTGTCTCAGGGACCCGAGAGATGGCCTGCTAGTGCAAGAATGGAGATCAGAAAGCAGAGTCCTGTCTAGTGACGTCATGATTAGAGAGACTGCATTTCCCACAAGTCTATGCGAAGAACTCCAAAAGAGCACTATTGCCCAAGGATTTTCACTGGAGATAGGCTGCTTTTAAAAATACCAGATTTAAAACGGGTGATGTAGGAGTATGATTCCACCCTTTAATGGCAATGTGTATTAAGTTTACTTCTTACTCTGATCGACATGTTATGACTTTGAAAGCTCAGATGTACCTAGAATCTTATAGCAGGAGGAAAAATTCACATTGACTCAATTTTACTTTAAAATAGTGGAGCAAGAAGCTACACTGAGACATGCCCCATGGCTAGATCAGGGTGGCTCGGCTGACCGTGCCGGAGGCAGACTGTGACGAGAGTTCATAGTCCTCCTTAGCTGAGGAAGCTTGCTGTTACTAGCTTTCACATTGCTGTTGTCAGATTTCTCGGGACATCTAGAGCAAGTGGGCTTTTCTGGGCCCTCCTGTATTCTATGACTGGCCCAGGACTCTGGTTTTGAATTCACGTAGCTCATAGTTTCTGGGACAGGGAGTTCTGTGGGGGAGTTTGGTGTATGAGATGTTCATCCCATTTTCTTTGGAATAAATTGTTAGTTTTCAGGACAGCTCACTTTGGATAGGAATTTGTCGTTTACCCACTGGTGCCAGAACCCTCACACTCACACACCCTTATGAGGCAAAAACAACAACAACAACCAAACTAACAAAAACTTCATAAAAGGGGACACTCTAAGGTTTGTACCATATGGGCAGTCACTGATCCTATACTGCAGAGTGGAAAATACTAGAAAATATTAGTACATACAATTGCACCAGGGACTGCGATGTCAGAAATTTGGACTCCTTTTGTGAAAGGAGAGAAGAGTTGGTGTGAGGATTGTTAATGGAGGGGACATGAATGTCTCTGGGGAGGAGAAATAGTCTTGTACACCTGACAGGCTGTCTACATTGCTCTCTAATCACAAACTTTTCTTCCGCGTCATTGGAGTATCTAGAAACTGAAACCAACAACTCCGAGTGCCCTGATGTTCACCCTACAGTTATGGGGGGAGGGAGTTGGGGGGGCGCTCGGGGTACCCAAGTATTTATACTGTGTATTAAGATTAAGAGATGAAGTTGCGCTGTGGCTCACTCAGGGTCCTGTGATTGTATATAGCTAGCTGCTCACCATGTCCTTTGTATACAGCCAGCTGCTAACCCTGTCCTTTGTATACAGCTGGCT